TGACGCCATCGACGCCGCAAAAAGAGCTGTGGAGAACGCTTGCCCGGGCGTAGTCTCAGCCGCCGATGTGTTGCAGTTCGCCGCCCGTGACGCAGTTGTACTGGTGAGCAAGCATCCCATAACGCAAACCTGGTAGTGTCTGTGGATGAAGGTTGGATGTCTGCCTGGTTGATCGTTCCCGACTTCACCCGATCGCGCATCGAATGAGCGATTCAGAAGCGCATCCGATCCCGCATTGAACCTGTGGGGTCGAGTATCAGGCTCCCGTTTCTGACATGTGGATTGCACCTGCGTGGTTGTCCAGGCTGGAGGTTACGGGTGGCATGTGCCCGCTGGGCGTCGAGACGGAACGGTTTCCATCATGGAAGAAGCACTGAACCTGCCCGCCCCGAGCATGACCGTGTCCCAACTCATAGATGTGTTCGGGCGGAAGGGCTTGAGCCCCTCCCAAATGGTAGTCCTATCAGGTGCCCACACCATCGGAAAAGCCCCGTGCGTCACATTCGACGACCGCGTTCAGACAACCCCGGTGGACCCAACTCTGGCTCCCAGCTTCGCCACGTTCTTGAAGGGGCAGTGCCCGTATGCAGCAATCCAATCCACCAGCGTGGACATGGATTCCACCGCGCACACATTCGACAGCCAGTACTTCAAGGACATCATCGCCGGGAGAGGCCTGCTCACCTCGGACCAGAGCCTGTTGTACGACTCCCGCACCAGCGGGGGTGTGTACGCCAACAACGGCGCGGCATTCTACCGCAACTTCGCCAAGGCGATGGTGAAGATGAGCCAGATTGAGGTGCTCACAGGTTTGGACGGCGAAATTCGGCGACAGTTTGACCAGGTGAACAGCCACTAGAAAGGAAAGGGGGCCCAGGAAACAAGGCCGCCCAGATATGGAGAGCATCCGTGTATCATAGAGTAGATTAGGACGAGTTCATTGCACATGGTGAGCGTCAACTGCCACGTGCTCATTCTTTCCGGTGCACAGCATCGGCATTCTTTGCGTTGCTTGTCGTAAGCAATTTACCGCACATCCCTGCGCGGCGTCAATCTCTGAATCACTCTTCGTCCTCTGAATTGGGCCAACCATGACAAGGTTATGAGCAGCAAAGCGCATGGATGTACTGCCCTTCACAAGTGTGATGAACACAAACAAACGTGGAGCAGTTGTTGTCGTGGCCGGTTTCGAAGTGGGATTCATGGATAGCAGCTTTGTGAAATCTCGAGGTATCGTTTTCATTTGCAGAGTGCGCATGATTAATCTGTAAGAATGAACAGAAATCATTACTGTTTGTTGCCATGCATTGCTGTTGTGCATTCAGCATAATCGCACCCACTCATGTCTCATCGAGAATGCACTACCGATGAGGTCGTCCTCCTCGCAGATTTAAGTACCGGACTGTGCATTATTGTAATTAGGGATGTATTATTGTACTAAGAATTCAGTAAACTTCCAACACCAAGTTACTCTCATAATTTCTATATGGTGTGAGAGGGACAATATCTAGTATAAGGTTAAGTAAAATAGACAACTAGAAATAACAAAGAGCTTAGAAGAAAAAGAGCTTGCCAAATCAGTTTATAACACAAGATATGAAAGCAAGTGAATCAATAACACAACATCTTAGCCATTTCAAAATTTTACTTTAATAATATCACTCTCTTGGAGTAATATTTGTACCACAAAAAGAAACCTTTACACTTATGAAGTCCATGCCATCTCAATATGGCATTGTCATACTAATACTACATGCAACTAGGATGACAATGCTTTCTATCTTAATTACATTTCTACTAAAGTGAAAACCATCATGAAGAGCTCTTCTTTTGATACTCAAGTCCTCTTTGTCTGCTATAAGAATAAGAAAGAGTGGCAACCATGATCATTATCAAATCAACCTTCAAAAGATCTCAAATATTAAAAAAAACAATTAAAATCTACTACTTCATGTCCTCATTGCAAAAAGATAGGATACTAGAATTCGGATTGTTTCAAAAATAGAGCAAAATATTTTTACTAATATAGCAACAACTACCAATGACAACTAAGAATACAAAAATATATAAAAATAAAAAAATGTAGAAGAAATACCTCCTACTTTTTATACACATGTGTATCTTATATAAATATATTGCTCTATAACATCACCTCTACTAAGAGCCACAAAAGATAATCAATAGTTTATTGATACAAGAGCTACTTATCATCTAGCCTATGATAAAATATAATTTATTAATTTTTAAGCCTTATTATCAAATAAAAATAAAGTGCATCTTGGTGATAATATAATACTTTTTATGTATGGATGAAAAAAAAGTCAATATTTGTATAATAAGTAGACATACTTTTCACCTTTCAAATACATTGTATGTCTTAAATTGATAAAAAAAATATTTTTAATATAAAAATAAAATAAAAATATAAATGACATATTCATCAAAAATCAACAATGTCACCTTTTTGACATAAATGATTCAACTCTTGTACAATGCCAACTACTTGGTAATTTCTATTTGCTTGAAATTATAATCTTATCGTTTCAACCAATTTTAGTTGATTTAATTGTAAAAAATATAAATCCTTCTGATTAGCTCATCAATATTGTTTTATTTTTTGATCACATAACAAATTTTTTGCCACTAATAAGTACAAGTACAAAAAGTCTCGCTTGCTCAACTATCCATAATTGCATCACTATTTTAGAAGTATATCTACAATTATTTGGATTCCTTTCAAGATCACCTTAATTGAGATTGGTACAAACTATTATAAGATTGTGCTCATCACTATCTTATTGCTTGCTAGTACCACCTCCATGCATTACTCGCTCTGACTTGCTCACCTTAAAAGTAATATTTTCAAAATTTGACAGTACTATGTTGAACTCATTGTTATTGATCTATAGCTAGATGTTACAAAAAATGACAACCTCTTCATTGACTCTATTCTCTACATTTGGTGCTCCAAGTTGCTTTCTACTACTCTTACTTCAAATTTTGGAACATCACCTTAAGAAACAAGGCCTTTCAAAATTTACCTTTCCATTCATTTTTGGAACAACAAATTTTATTCAAGCTTATCTTGGAATTTTAGAAAGAGCTATTTTATAGCATTGCAGATTAGGCCATATTAACTCAAGTAATCTTTACTATTTCATTTGATTAAGAAAAATTATAGGAATTTTCATTCAATATATCTCAAAATATGTCTTTATAGAAAACAAAGTGCAACTAAGTTACCTAAAGTAGCAACCTTTTATATCTTCCATCTACTTGAAATTTTTCATTTTGATCTTAGTGGAGTAATTTCCACTCCTATATTTTCAGATTTTGAATATTATGTTACCTTTATAGATGACTACTTTCAATACAAAGTTTTTTGTTTCTTTCAAAAAAAAAAAAAAAATGTTTCACAATATTCAAACTCATCCATATTTGGTATGAAATTCAAACCAAGTATAAGTTTAAAATCTTTTACTTTAATCAAGGAAAAAAAATGCCTTTCGTTCAATTTTGATCAATATCTTGCTACTCATGGCATTCAAAGACAACTTAAAATAATTCATACACCCCAAAAAACTGGCATAGCTAAACAAAAGAATTATATCTTACTCAATACAACTAAGTGTATGTTTTATAAGGTATGATTCATTAAGCCATATTGGAATATAGTTGTAATGTATACCACTTGTTTTTAAAATAGGCACCTAACTAAAGCCATACCACCACATATTACTTTGTTTGAGCTTTTGGCATGAAACAAAATCCAATCTATCATGCATTTATGTATTTGGCAATTAAGTATTTCTAAAAATCATTAATGCAACTAGAGACAAATTTGACACTTGCTCTATTGAATGTATGACATTGGACTACAATGCCTTAAGCAAAGTCTATATGCTCTAAAATACTACTACAAGAAAAATAATTGTTTCTCAAAATATGTCTTTTAAAAAAAAACATATCTTCTTGCTACTATCTTTGTACCTACTAATACTTTTATTTTTAATATAAGTATCCAATAGAACCTTTATCTTATCAAATTAGTAGAACTTTCAATTCTCTTTTCTTTTTTATTGTTTGACTAATGTCAAGAAGCTCAATACAATAGCTATATAAATTCTTAGCAATTTTGAACTTCTGGCCACTTTCTTTGATAATCCATCCAAGGCTCTATTGTTGTTTCTAAATATACTATCAATTAATTTGTATCTTATGCTATTGATTGTTTTGTCTTCTATAAGCATCTTTTCACTTCTTGCAACAATACCACTATCATTGATAAAGACTCTTTTAAAATTTTCTTTTCTTTAGGAGTCTTTAGTAGAGTCAATCCCTTCTACTTAAGCTCAATATAATTTACTAGCTCTATACCTTGCAAGTTCTTCCATGTGGATAATTGATGTTTACTTTGGCATAGAAGTAATGCTCAATCTTGACCAGTATGTTTATCAAGCATCACCTCTTTGTGATACTTTTGGCTCCACTAAATTTTAAGATCCAATTGTAGCCCTGTTGCCTCCACCTTATCAATCCATATGGTTCAATTGCAATGTACTACTACTACATGATCTTAAAAACAACTATAATCTATACATTTTCCACCATTGCCATGCTTGTGCTAAATTAAAACCAATAAAATGAGCTATGTTTATCAGCTTGTTGATAGTTCTTCTTAAACTTTAGAATTATCAACAAGCTCTATGATTCCCAAAATTTGTTTAATAGCAACAAAAAATCTTTGATGAATTAAATTCTCACATGATGAATGGTACTTGGATATTTTTTAAATTTCCTTCCAAGTATTGTCCAATCATATGCTAGTGGATTTTTTAGCTTAAGCTCAAGTCCAATAGAATTATTGATTGTTTTAAAATACAACTTATTCTAAGAGAATTTAGCCAAGTTTTAGATTTGGATTTTATCAAAACTTTTAGTCTTATTGTCATGCTATAACATAACTAATAGGTGAAAGAATAAAAAAATATTATATTATAGAAGACCTTACTTCAAAATATTGTAACAAATTATCTTTAAAATATAGATAATAATCAAAAGATAATAAAACTAAAAGAGCAAATGTTGCTTTTTACAAAGTAGATTTTTATTTTTTTTGTCCGACCATAAATAAGAAAAAATAAGATAGATTAAAATAAATAAAGGAGATAAGTATATATAGAAGAAAATTAGGAGTTGATTTTAGTAAAAATTATCTCAAGAAAAATAAAAATTGATATCTAAAAAGCACCAATTGCTGATTAGGATCAAAATCAAACCTTGATATACAAAATCATGTATCTATGGTGACTTTAGGATTCTTTTATAAATCAAAGAGTAGAATTTGAAAAAAAATTCATAAGATTTCTTTGAGCATTGGTTTTGAATAATTTTAGTTTGTAATGATTTTATAAGAACTTTCAAAGTGAAGATTGTTTTTGGTAAATTTAATTTTATGAAATAAAAAAGAATTTATATTTAAAAAAAATATGAAAATTTAATAAAAGATTTAAAAGTAAAAATTTGTAGATTTTTTATTGTAATTGTTTCAATTACATATTATAAATTTGAGCATAATCAAATAATTAAATTGAAGGTTATCAAAGTTTAAGTAGATTGATATCTCAAAAATTTATATATATCGGTGGTAGACTTGATTTTCAATATATATGTGAATTTTAAAAAGTATTTAATGGTGCAATTAAGAGATTTTAGATTAGAAGAATTAGAATCAAGATTGGAAAAGAAGGCTAACTTACATCTTAGTGGTTTTTAGGATTTATCTTAAATATTTTTATTTTTATGTCTTTAAAATAAAAAGAATTGTTATTAGCTTAGTTGTTGATAGGTGTGCAAAGTTTGAGTTGAAATCAACAATTCGATTGTTAATTATAGATATTTCAATCTACCATAGGATTTTTTAAGATTTTTTTAAAAACTTTAGGATTGATTTAGGATCTAAAATTTGATTAGTATTTATCTTTGGTTTATTTAGGATTTGATTAGAACTTATTTAGGATTTAAGTAGGATTTGTCTAGGATTTTTTAAGATTTAATTAGAATTTGTTCAAGATTTTATTAGGATTTGTTTAGGATTTGATTAAGATTTGTCTAGGATTCGATTAGGATTTATTAAGAATTTGGTTAAGATTTTTTTAAGATCTAATTAGGATTTGTTTAGTATTTTTTTAAGTTTTCATTAGGATTTGTTTAGAATTTGGTTAGAATTTGTCTAATATTTG